ATATATATAAACTGTATATACTTTGCTTAATTTACTCAACTAGGCTTAGTGGAACCAGTTGACATGACTTTGTTGAGTAAATTAAACATTTCATTTTTAGAAACATCTTTCATGATGAGTTCACACATATTTAATTTTGTAACAAGAAACTACTGGTAGGTGTTACATTTTAAAGTAAAGAAGTAAAAGTATCATTTTCAGCTTTAAAATGTAATGAAATAAAAGTAAAAGTAGCTGTTTAAAAAATAATTGTTAAATCTACAAATTCTTAAAAACTAAAGTACTGTAACGAAGTAAATGTACTTAGTTACTAAAATTCTCTGATAAAAAGTGTTCTAACCTTGTTCATCCTTTATTTGGTAGTGTCGGAGCCTCTCAGCACAGTGCACCGTCCCCAGCCCCTGCCTCCTTCCGCAGGCCACCAGGCCTCCGGTGGTGGTGGGCAGGGAGAGGGGGGCTCACCGTACTGCCTCTCCTCTGGACGCCACACCTTCTCAGGCTACTCTGACACCTTTGTGAGTCCCGGAGGACCGACCAATCCCATGAACCCTGCTGTAGGAAATGGGCTTTCTCCACAGGTGAGATGCAAGGCAGAGCCATTTGGGAAGGCTGCTTCATATGTGATAATAAAACTGTTTGCGGTAACGTCTTATGAGACAAATGGAAAGATTAAACTAGAAGGATTCATGCTGGTATAACATGACAAACAACAATAAAGCAGATGGGCGATCACTTCCTGAAAAGGCGAAAAGTAGGATGACTCTTGTAGGATAAAGGACAAATCACCGTGTGACAAATGTGAAGTGAAAAGGCAATTAAAGTCAATTATCAGGCCATGAAGTCCCAAGGTCTCTGCTTCAAGACACAGGGTGCAGCAGAGTCCAGACCTTAACAGGCAGAAAATGAGATTTCAGCCTGTCACTGTCTGCCCCCTCAGAGTGTGAGGACAGAGAAACACTTCCACAGTTTCTCATAATTACAGTCACACACTCACACATCCTTGTACTTCCATCAAACTGAGGACTTTGTATTGACTTCCATTCATTTTTGTAACTACCTAACCCAAACATTTTCCCTAACACTAACCAGTCCTAGTCTATTTCTAACTCTAACCTGAAACAAAACTTCATTTACTCCACACCACTCAACCTAACTGGTAGAGAGCAGTAAAGCTGCAAACAAAGTGAGGACTGGGACAAGGTCCTCACTTCCCAAATATGACCTCTAATGCAGAGGTTCTCCAACTGGGGTCCCAGGACCCCCTGGGGTCCGCGAGAGGTATCTTGGGGGTCCTCAAAAAATTTCACTAAATTGCTAATTTTGGTTTTTATTTTTAAAAATGCACGGAGAAATATGAACTAATAAAACAAACAAAAACTAAATAAAAATATATATATTTCCATGGCATTTAGGGGTTGAAATGACAGTAAATTATCTTTTAAAACAGCAGGGGGTTTATGAAGGGGTCCCTGGAATTTTTTCACCCTTGTAAGGGGTCCCCAGACACGTAAAAATTTGAGAACCCCTGCTCTAATGGGCTCGACAAATGGGGAGCGACAAAGGACAGCGATTGACGGCGGTCATTGCAATGAGGGTGAAACCCAACACAGGGATATGATAGTGGCAGCGTTGCGCTCCCGGGTCGCTTGTCTTCACGAAATTTGATTGGCTCTTCTACAGCTTCTTGTCACATTTATTGGTGGTTCTCAAGAGAGGAAAAAAATAATGGTGTGCATTACAGACGCGTACTAAACAAATCTTGCCAATGAGGCTGAAAAACACACGCCAAAGTATGATTTTACGAGAAAATAACTTATCGGACAACTTCACCCTGGTGCCAAAAAAATTTCCATACGGCTGCCTTTTTTTTTACTAATCATGTTTTGAAGTGTCATATAAAATTGGAAAGTTTCACACAATAACATTGAAAGTGTTAGCTAACTGCAGTGTAGCATACTCTTCTCTCATTGGTCAGTCAATGAAACCCTCAATGATTGTAATGTCATGCAACAAAAGTTTTCTGAACAACTTTCATATGTCACGTCGCAAGCTTGCATGTGCACCTCTACGTGGACGAGCGCGAAATTTCACATGCACGAGTTTGGGCAAGCGATTGTCGCCTCATCGCACAAGTTCCATAGGAAACGAATGGAGAGGGAGCGATGTCGCCTCCTGTATGTCGAGCTCCTTTGTTGGTTAAAATCATGACAGTCCTCACGCTGAGCCGAAACACACACACACACACACACACACACACAAGGTCTTGTACAGCTATTCTTATGGAGACATTGCATTGACTTCCTTTCATTTCTACAGCCTAACCCTGATCCCTTACCCTAAACCTAACCCCCGACCCACCCCATTTCCCCCATGGGGACTAGGATTAGGTCCCCATAAGTACCAGTTGGTCCCCACAAGTATGCCACAAATGGTCCCCACATGGTAGGGAATACATGCACGCACACACATGCTTTTTCTACCCACCTTTTAACCTCACCACGAACAACTCAATCTCCAATTCTGTGTTTGTTACTAAAAATTAAAAATACATGTTTCATATTTAATCACGACAGTCATCATTAGTCATCCTTTAGGATTTATGTTCATCTGTCTCTATAGAAGCCAAGCCACACGGGTTTTAGAAAACTGAACAGTTTAATTTTGTCTTTTCAAGGTGTGGTTCAGCAACAGGCGAGCGAGGTGGAGGAAACAAGCTGGGGCCAATCAACTGATGGCATTTAATCACCTGATCCCAGGAGGATTCCCCCCCACGGCCATGCCCAGCATCCCACCCTACCAGCTCTCTGACACCACCTACCCACCCTCATCTATAGCGCAAGGTAAGATCGAGTTTACAAACAGTTGTCAGCTGTTAAAGTGTTGCTAAAATGCCAAATGAGTAAATCAATAAATAAATACATGAACAAATAAAATAATAAAACATTTCTCGGGTAAAGAAATAAATATTTTATGTGTCATATTT